GCAGGTGGAGACATGCTGGCTGCACCTATCCCAGGAAAATAAACACAGCCAGGGATGCTGCCAGCCCCAACCATCAATACCATCATGCTGGGAGAAGGGTCACTGGCGTGCTAGGGCCCATGCCGTCCCAGGCAATTCCATCCCCACACAGGTGCAGGAGTCCACAGGGACCAGGAGTCATTCCCAAGGCTATGTGCTTCCAGCCACCCTCTTGGAGATGGAGCAGGAAGGATGTGGTCAAACGGCAGCAGCTGGCCCTCAGGCTAAAGAACAGACCTTGGCACTGGCTTATAATAATTCTAATAAACACAGCAATTAGGGCCAGCTTTAACTAGATTGCTTGAGCAATATAGATAGTTGCAGCTCCAGCACAGCCTGGGGACCTAAGCAAATTTTCATGGGCCCCAACAGACCTCCACTGCTAAAGGGGTTATCTATGCTGCCACATTTTCACTCAGGTTCTTATCTAAACTAAGGTCTTATCCCTTGCCCACCAGTGGAGTCTCCATAATACACATACCAAGGGATGCAGGAACAGCCTTGGATGCCAGCGCAGAGCAGAATGTCCACCCATGTACCCAAACACATTAATTCATACAAACCTTAATCATCACAAAGAAAGGAAACAAATGCTCAAAACTGAGTTTCATGCAATGGCCCAGTCCTGCAGGGACCTCCTCCACATCCAGGGATGACCAAGGGTATTTGACATCAGGCAGGATCATGCAGGTGTAGCCCAAAGCACAACTGCTTCTCAAGGCATGCAGCCACTTGGCAACTTGCTGGTGCTCAACTGACTTCCAAGGGCACTCACTCCAACAGCAGCACAATCACTTACGTTACTAATACCAAAGAAACAATGGCTTATTGCCTGAGCAGTCATACTGTGACTAGGAAATCATTTTTCATATTTCAGAAGGTAACTTAGAAATTACAATATGGAGTGCTTGACATCTTAAGAGATCTATACATCATGTTGACACATATAAACAAAAAATGAGACCATACTGCATAATGTCAAGCAGCTTTTTAGCTTGTTTTAAATGGGGCAACGTTTACAATGTAAAGACACTTTATTTAGGTCTGGATAGGTCATTTTTCTCTCTCTGTTTTGGGTTGGGTTTTTTTTCTTTTCCTGACAGCAGAAGTTCTTTTTTTCTTCACCAAAAAAAAAAATCTATCTCAAGCAGCTCCTAAACATTTGTGCTTAAAACGTTTTGATCTCTCTAGAAAAAATATAATCAATTCTAAAGTTTTTGTCGTTTTCGTTAGCTATTAATAGAGCTATAGAAATTTTCCAGCAGCTACTTTAGTTTCCACGAAGCAAGGACTCTCAGTAACCCTCCTCACCAAGACACATCAGTGCAGAGAGAGGCAGGTACATTGTTCTTGTGATTAAGAACCAGAAGGTTTACTCTCCATTTATTTCAACCACCCTATTAGTGCAGCTAAGACATCTGCATAACATTTCATTTCATTGTGGTACATGTGAGCTAAATAACGCATATGTTAAAACCTGGGCTTTCAGTGGCTTTTAATAGCAAGGAAAAATAAACTCCTGCAGTATTACAGATACATAATCTCTGTCTTGGCTTCATCACCCGATGTTATTTAAAGAAAATCAGTGGCTTTGCACTGACAAAACCCATGCAAAAGAATACTTGCATCAAGCTCATTTTATCTAGTTAATGGGCTTTTAGTTAAAATACTAGGATTCCATCTCATCGCATATTAACAGGGTAACCAAGACTTTCATTTTAATGTGTCTTAGTCCCTGCCCTCTAACAGAGACTCCACGCTGTATCCATTCCTCTAACCTTTCTGCTTGCTCTGTTCAGGCTGGCAGCTTGGAATGGCTTTTTCTGCATAGGGTATTTGGTGCATACAGCACTTGGTGCATACAGTGCTCGCATCAATCATGCATCTCACAACCACGTGTAAATAACTTTATGGCAGAAGTAGCACAACATGAATGGTATCACTGAACCAAACCAACCACTGCTTCTTGTAATGCCTTCTCCTGTCCCCTTCTGGCGTGCTCAGATATATAAACAGATGTATTTATCAGATGCTTATGTCTTTATTGTATGAATACCATTTTTAACAGATTGTTCTGTCACTGTTCCACCCATTTGTTACTGTCTGTAAAGAGGCGCCGCTTCAGAAACTTTTATTCCAGGTGCCTATCAATGGGTTGTTTGTCCTGAAAAAAGTTAAGATGACTTTTAAGCAACTACTGATGTAAAACGCTGTTTCAAATTTGTAATGGGAGAAACTTGGGGGGGGCCCCCCCCCGCTCTGCTGTTCTTCTGATAAATCTTTTGTGCAACTTAGCAAATGTCACAGTTAGGAAAATAAATAACCTGAAATTATAAAATAAATAAATAAATAATTTATTTAGACATTATTTCTGAGTTGCAAATCTGCGGCTCCTGTAGACAGGGGACACATTACCAAGGAAGGCTGACCCTTCACCACAAATACCCCATTTAGTAGAAGATACTTACGAAATTTCCCCTCAGCAGGCAGATGACTGTGGCGATGGAAAAGCCATGCTGTACAATGGGCTGTACAAGGAAGTACATGTCCATCACTCCATCTTGTCATCCAATCAAAATTTTGAAGACGCCTCCTGCAGAAACATTTGTTCTTGCAGACTGTTCAGATTACTTTAGCATTCCAATAAATACGTCTTAAAATCCTTCACTACCCTGACTGTGGTCAGGGATTGAGCCTCACTCCCATTACACCTAGTGAGATGACTGTGATCCCCTGTACAAATCTACAGCCTCTGGCCTGAGATCTCCTCTGGAACTGGGTGCTTAGAGGATTCTGCATGTTTCACACTGATGAAGAAGAGTTAACAAACGTTGATGTGCACACACCTGGAGCTCAAATCCACACCTGAGGTCCTCATCCTACTTCCTAGCCAAGGTCTGCAAAGAGGGCAGCAAGGGCTGTGCAGGACAGGCAGAGGGAGCTGGTGCCACCTGCCTCCTGCACCCTGTCCCTGCGGGGCCTGGGCTGTCTGGGACATACACAGGGGAATGGGACAGTGGGGAGGAGATGGGAAAAGGAAAACAGGAGACTGAGAGGGAGAAAGAGAAGGAAAGGAAGGTGGAGAGCGAGAGACAGAGGGAAAGGGAAAGGGAAAAGGAAAAGGGGAAAGTGAAAAGGTAAAAGGGGAAAAGGAAAACAGAATGGGAAAAACGAAAAGGGGGAAAAGAGAGAAAGGGAAAAGGGAATGGGAAAGAGGAAAATGAAAAGGGAGAAAAGAAAGGGAATGGGAACTGGAAAGGGAATGGAAAAGGGGTATACAGCACACGAAGTGGCCCAGGAGAGGCAGCCATGGAAAGGCAGCCCAGGGTGACGCTGGCGGTGCCACCGAGGAACGAGGCTCTGCGCAGGCCCCCCCGCCCGCCTGCCAGACCCCACAGCAGGCAGCCGCGCCCACGGCGGTCACCACGGGTTGCGGGAGCTGCTCCCGTTTCCCGAGAGAGGGAGGTGTGAGTGCACTGCCGTAACCACACACATACACACACCGGGCGGAGGGGGGGGAGTATGGAAACAAACCCGCAGCCAGGTTGCAACTTTTGGGTCAGCTCTGCCGCCGGACCGGCTGTGCCCGGCGCCGCTCCCTCAGTCCCCGCAGCTCGGCGCTGTACCGGCGCGGCGCTGTCCACAGCGAGCTGGTTTCCCTGCTTCACCCCAGACCCCAGCGCCAAGCTCCCAAGAAACACCCCAAAGCAAAATATGTATTATAAAATAAATAATTTTTTAAGAGGCAGCATCGGCGTAGGGCCCGGTCTGCGCCGCGTTAATTTCATAGCACCGGCGACATGAGGACCTCATACCTCCAGACAACTGGGTGAGTCATAAATACACGGCGCACGGCTGAAAGCCGAGACTGTTTACAGCGGCTTCGCAGCAGCCTCCGCCGGGTCAAATCGCCGCCCCCCGCTCAGGGGTCGTGCTGCGCGGAGGGGGATCCGCGGCGGCACCTGCGGCCGACGAGAGGCCAGGGGGAGGGGGACGAGAGGCCTTCCCCGCCACCGTCCACCCGTCGGTCGGCCAGCCCCGTCCGCCCGTCCGTGTCCGGCGGAGCGGCGGTAGGGAGGGAGGGGTGTTGGGTTACCCCGGCCCTGCCCCGCCGCCGCCGCGGGGCCAGCGGGTGCCGCGGAGCTGCGCCGGCGGACGCGCAGCTCACGGTATGTCGGGCCGGTGACTTCAGCCGGGAGATATTTGGAGGCTCCGCGGGGTCCGGTGCGGGGGGCCAGCGTGTGTTTGGGTCTGAAAGCGAATCAGCGGAGGGCGCGTCACTGCCAAAGGGCCCTATAAATCCATCTGCTGCGCCGAGTCGCCCTGGCAAAGCCCCCGCGCCCGTGCGTCCAGATCCGCGCTCCCCTCCGCCCGCGGGAGCGGTGTCCCCCGCGCCTCGCCCAGCCCCGCGCCCACCACCGAACCCGCCGGCGCCCGGGGGAGCCTGGCCGGAGCAGCCGAGCAGGCGCTCCCCGGCACCGGCCCGGCGTCCCGCCGCGCTCCCCACTTGGATCTAAGCTTTCGCTGCGACGGGACTCCCGATTCGGAGGAGGAAGCCTCGCCGTCGCCGCCGCTGCCGCTGCTACGAGCTCTCCAAATCCCAGCGCCGGCCTCTGATTCTCCCACCAGACTGCGGGGGGGTGGTTAGATAATTTTTTCCCCTCCTTAGCTGAGGTGGGGTTTTTCGTGATTTGGTTTTGTGTGTGTGTGTGTGTTTTCTCTTCGGGGGTATTTTTTTCCCTCTTTTTTTCTTTTTCCCGCCGTTGCGTGAGTGTCCGAGCGGTGTGCGGCTCCCCGCGGTGCTGGACCAGCTGGCGTTACAGGAGCCCTGATGTCTTCATCTGACTCCCCGCAGTTGTTGATGGAGTGTCTTTCTCAGATTTCCAGGCAGGGTCCCAAGAGCAGCACCCACAGCCAGATTCCGCTGCCAGGCGGCGCTCCCCGCGCCTCGGGCCGCTCCCGCCGCTGCTGAGCGCGGCTCTGGGGCCGGAGCAGGCAGAGATCCGCGAGGAGCCGCTCCTGCCGTGGCCACAGCACCTGCGGCGGCGGGGAGGGCGCGGGGCTTGTGCTGGCGGCTGCCCTTTTCCCCCATCCACACTTGCGACCTTGCCCCCTTCCTCCATACCGACCCCCCCAAAACCCTCCACAGAAAGAGGGTCTCGGCGCTCGGCCCCCGACCACATGCACCACCCGTCCGGCCGCTCGGCTCCCCGGCGTTAATGTCCATCTCGGGTCCGACGAGACCAGCTCAGAGGTGAGGGCGAGGAGCGGCCGCGGCGGGGCGGGCGGGGCGGGGTGGCTGGGGTACTGGGCACCCACCGGGGCACAGGGCACCCCCCGGACTCCGCGAGGTGCGAGGACAGAGGCCGGCGGGGACCCGGGTGGCAGCCGCGCTCAAAGCATTGCCCGGGACCCGGGGCCCGGACACTGCTACGTAACACCGGCCGCGCTGGGCTGAACCGGGCCCGGCTGAACCGGGCTGGGGGCAGCTGCCATCCCCGGTGGGGGGCATCGGGTGGCGGACTGCCGGCGGGGCGACCGCGGGGCGAGGAGCTGAAGAGATAAATGGAAGAAGAAGGGGGGAGAGAGGAGGAGAGCGAAAGGAAACGGTAAAAGAGAGGAACGGAGAAAGAAAGTAGAGAAGAAGGAAACGGAGGGGAAAACAAGAAAGAGGAACTCGAGATGGAAAGGGAAAGGAGAGGGAAATGAAAGGAAATGGAGATGGAAACAAAGAGGAAAAGGAAAGGGAAAGGGAAAGACAAAATTGAAAGAATAAGGGAACAAGGGAAATAGGAAGAGTAGGGGAAAAGGGAAGAAGGTAGGGAAAAGGTGACAAATGAGGATGAAAGAGGAAATAGGAAATTCGAGAAAAATTAAAAAAAAAGGAAAGAACTGGGAAGGGGGTGGGAAAGGGGAAAGGCCTAGAAATAAATGAAGAAAGGGAAAAGGAAAGAGAAAAGAAAAAAAAATAAGGAAAGGGAGAGGGGGAAGAAGAGAGGGAAAAGGAAAGGCAGGTTTGCCTGTAGCACAACAAATCTGTGCAGGTCTGCACCCCCTATCAGCCCGGTCCACCCTGGCCCTGCCGGGGTGCTGGAGGAGTCAAGCACAAGGTGACCTGGCTGCCAGCACAGGGACATGGTTACACCCCCATGTCCCTGGGCACAGGCTGCTGCGGCCTGCCTGCCCGCATCCCCCAGAGCAGCTAGCCTGGGTGTGGAGGGGCTGGAAGCCACCCTGGCCTTCCTCTCCCACACCTCTCACCTCCCTTGCTCTGGAAGGCAATGAGGTGGGAGGCTGGCCAGGGTGGATCTGGCTGATCTGGGGTGCAGGACTTGGGAGCACAGCAGTTGAGGATTAACCCTGCCCCTCCTTTCTGCCAGGGGCCCGTGTTGGAAGGAGATCTAAGATGAAGTTATGGGATGTTGTGGCTGTCTGTGTGGTGCTGCTCAACACGGTCTCCACCTCGCCCCTGCCCACTGGTAAGACGCCTCTCAAGGGGCCCCCTTCAGTGGTAGAGGGGCCTGAAGACGATCTCTCCCCCATCAGCCTGCTGCCTCCCTATGCTGTGCACAGTGACTGTAAGAAACATTTCCCTTTGTAGCCACTCTGTCTGTCTTGCTAAACCCGCTCCCCTTTATTCAGGCATCAGGGTGAGGAAAGGACACCCCCCCCGACCCCCCCCACCCCCCCCATGTTTTCTGCCTCCATTTCTTCCCCAGGCAGTGTCACTGGCTCTGATCTGGCTCCAGCAGCTCTGAACCAAGTCATCCTTCAAAGCTCAGGATTGGCAGTTGCCCCACCACCAGCACTTATCTTCCTGATAGTCATAAGATTACTTTGGTTGAAAAACCTGGAGAGAAGGTAAAGTTAGCTGAGTGCGGAGGAGCTGATCAGGTGCATACAGACTGCAGTGCAGGCACTGAAACTCCTTCCTCGCTGCTTGAAACCTGCCAGTGAAATTATTCACTGCCTGTAGTGGGCGCAACTCCTGATCAAGATTGGGCTCCCTGGTGGGAGGGACCGTACGCATCCCGAAGTGCTGCTAAGTTTCATTAAATCCTCCTTGGATCCTGATCCCCAAATTAGTGTGTCCACATGGAAATTTACAGAAGAGTAGCAGAGGCAGGGTTAGGATCTAGATGCAGAGCAATCCACATGAACTGGCTCACAGTAAGACAGCTTACAATCCAAATGACAGATAATAATAATACCTTGCTAATAATAGGTCTCCTACAATAGCAGATGCAGTTTTTTCACAGCGGTATGTGAGTGTATGCTAACTCTGGTGGCTTTTTAAAGTGAAAGTTAATATGACTCAGAAGTGATAAAACACATGAATTGTGAAGATGTTCACTTAGTAAAGGCACAGGCGTAGCTTGGAGGTTGGTCCCTTGCCCTTGCTCAGCGCTCTCTGTTTAGGTCATTGCAGGATGCAGGCAGTGTTCAGTAACTGGGACTCATTTTTATCTCCTTATCTGGAGGCATGTCGTTCCCCTGCGCCTGCCCCAGCTCCAGCCATGGACAGCCCTGTTCTCTTTTCTCTGGGATAGCCAGACTAACGCAGCATGAAGGCACTGAACAGGGAATTGTGTGCCATGACTCCTCTTTTATCCCCTCCCCAATACCTATCTTCCTTTATGCACACACATCTATGTCCTTTCCCATTGAATCTTCTGTCTTTCCTTTTCTTGCTTATGTTTCCATGCTGAAATCTTGCTGTGGCTGCTGCCTCTGCACATCCAAGCCCGGGCTTCTGCTGCTTGCAGACTGGCAGGCCCTGACATCCTTTTGTCCTCTTCATAGAGGGAGATTGGCCAAAAGTGCTTCCTTCCAGGGCTCCAGCCTGCAAGTGCTGCAGGGGCATCACATATGTTCATTGTCTTCTCTGCGGGAAGCTGTGTGGTGGGATAAGTACTGTCCTACAAGAGACAGTGATCAGCTTTCCAGGTCATGATCTGGTCCACCTGCACAGCTGGTCCCTTTCTGCAGCGCCGGTAGCAAGAAGAGCATTAGGGGGGAAGTGGCACCAGTCAGTTTGTAGCTCTAGTAGAGCTACACAGTGGGAGAGCATTAATGCTTCATCTTCTAAGGGTGATAGTATTTGTACTATGCCTGCTTTTATCTTGAAACTTCTGGGAATACAGTTCTTGGTGTGACAGTTTGTCCATAGCAGGTCAAGGGGACAGGCTGTGTAGCAGTTTTCTGTTCCTAATGTCCAAAACTTCTCTATATAGTCTCTTTTTTCTTTTTTTTTTTTTCTTACGAATTGGGTAACCAAGAAGTGGGAAGAAAGACAACCTGTGTTTTGCCTGAGCTATGATAGTATCAACAGACATCCTCTTCCACATATCTGTTTCCAAGGTATGGACATAGGATTTGGCAAGAAGAGCTGGGTCCAGGGTTATTACCCAGGATAGTCATTTGAGAAAGTGCTGATAGTTTGGTCTCCGTCTCTTAACTCTGCAGGCCACAAACAGATGGGCCTGGCTGCAAGGGGAAAGTAAGCAGTGCTACTTTTCAGAACAGAGATTGGGAAAAATCCAGGGACTTTCTCTCATCTTTGCAGAGCTTACACAGCACCCATAGCCAAAAGTCAGAAACTCTTCACTGCATTGCCAAGTCAGAAGAGTCAGGGGAGACCTGCAGAAAAGTGGCTGTAAGAATGCAGCAAAATACTTTGGTCCACTTTTATACTGTTTTCAGTCGATTTTGGAGAGCTGTCTGCATACAAAGCCCATGAAGTTGATTCTACCCAGGCACATCAGTGCTTTCCTGCTGCAGCAGCATTTTGGTTAAGTCATCACCATCACTGTCTTTGACATATTTGTTTATCTCCACTTACCATTTGGTGGCACATGCTCTTCAGCACACAAAAGATGTGTAATGGTCTACAGAGGAGTTGCATCTATACCATGTAGACTTCTCTGTCCTGTACAAGGTTTCTCTTACAAGCATAGGGCAGCATGCCACAAGCATGCAGGCACGCCTGCAGCTCCCTGATTTGTCGGTGGACCTGCCGTGTGTTAATATCTCTGCGGATACTTTTGGTCAGTTGCTTTGCCGAGTGCCTTTGAAGGAGACAGCTCACACAGTAGTGGAGCACTGTCAGTGCCCATGTTAGTATAGGGCAGTGTGTAGGTGTGAAGCAGGACTGTGTGCTGTGTCTGATCAAAAAGGAGTGCACTGCTCTTCCCTAAAGTGATCCCCATGCAGGCTGGGTGGGGAGTAGTGGTTGTGCTCCAACAGGTTCATTGCTCTTACTCCAGAGAGGTTGGGTCTTCCATACATCGTGTGCAGCAGGGGTTATTAGGGTTGTAAGATCAAGTCCTGCTCCTAAGGGCAGGCCACATACCTTGCTGAAGGACGGATATGTTTTCCCAGGCCCTTGACACCTTTTTGTGTCCTAATTTGATGGGACTGCTTTCTCTGCAAAGTGCTCTGAGGTCACCTGATGCTACCTCATCCCTTTCAGACTGGCTTGAAACCTTCCCTCGTTCCAGCCTACAGTCAATGTCCTAACCTCCCAGGCTTATCATGTGTAATGTGCTGAGCTTTGCTGTTCAGGGCAGTAATCGGAGATGGCAGAGGGGGTGCTGGCAATTGCAGTCTTCTGCATTTTTTAGTGGACTGGAGGCTGGAAGGAGACTAGCTTCCATAAATACAGTGCATTTAAGATTAATCCAGTGTTCATAGGTGTTTTAGACATCAGTAGTCATGGGGTAGCTTACTTCACACAAAGAAGAGCAGCCATAGAGTTTGTAAGGTTAGAAAACCCATTCTTTGTTTCTCTCATACTACAGAACTGCTGGGGGAATGATACAGTTAGCTTAAACAGTAACTGCAAACAGAACAAATATAAACTACATTATTATAAACTAAAAGTTCAGTCAGCAGCTTCAGAAGAATGACAGTGCAGGGGGAGCCAAACACTTGGTTTGACTTATACACAGTTCCCAGCAAATACATTTTGTAACTGCTTGCTGCTGTACAGCCATATTCAACATGTATGTAAGGGCTGGAGTATTCTAAGTTCCAGTATATGATGTATAATCTCTTGATCAAATGGCCATCTTTAGCAGGTAATTTTTAGTGGTAAGCATGTAGAATTAAATGAAAAATCTCACCGTGTCCTTTTCCCTCCTCATAGGAGGAAAAGGTTTTTTTACCTTATAACATCTGAGTTGAAGTACCTTTAGCATGTTTGTTATGCTGTAACAGACCATAGTATATGTGTGTTAAACAACTCTATTAAAAAATTTTCATACTCATGCTAAGGGTTGTTTAATGTTGAGTTACTTTGTTCAGCTGCAACATTATCCAACTAATATGGAAAGTATCTAGAATAAACAGTGATATTGTAGGGCAAAACCAGTATTAAATTAGATTTCCAACTGAATTCATTTCCTTTCCTACAATATTAATAAGCCACATTTAGTGTTACGAACCCGAACTCTGATGTTCCTGTCAGTCTTTCCTGCACAACACACGTACGGCGTGGCATATGTGCTCTAGTCAAAGACTACAGAGCTACAGAAGTAACCTGTCCATGCACAGTAAATCCAGTGTATTGGAGAGGTGTCAGCCACACTGAGCAGGTGCCACACTGCATCATTTGCTCTGTGTGTATCCAGTACAGCCAGTGCATCTAGGTGGTGCCTGACCTAGTGTGCCTGTGTCCCTGGGCCAGCTTAAGTGTAGTGAAGTTTGTTTGTATGGTTATGCCTAGGTTATTTTGGCATTTAGAAATCTTAAGCATTCAAGTTTGGCCATCTATGGCCAAAATTCTAGAAACAGAAAAAAACCATCTGGTTAAATCCAGGTGCATGTATCTGATCTCTCCACAGTCTCAAGTATAAGCACTGAATATAGAATCATAGAATAGTTAGGGTCGGAAAGGACTTTTAAGATCATATTCTTCATTGTGAGGCACTGGAACAGGTTTCCTCAAGAAGTTATGGATGTCCTATTCCTGGAAGCATTCAAGACCTGTTTGAATGCGGCTTTGAGCAACTTGGTCTAGTGGAATGTACCCGAGCCTGTGGCAGGAGGGCTGGAACTAGATGAACTTTAAGGTCCCTTCCAACCCAAACATTATGTGATTCTATGATTCTGTGAATATGCTCCTATGAAAAGTATTCTGGGACTGAAGGAGGAGTGGACTGAAATGTAAGAGAGTATGTTTTGGATTTTTTTGGGGGGGGGCTGTTTTGTTTCATTTTCCTTCATTGTAAGAGTTACCCTTTGTTTAAAGTTTTATGTCTTTGCTGTCTTTCAGTTCAGGATCCCTTAAATTTGCCAGTGGAAGTGTAGATTTAGTTGTTTTGCAGGTGTGGGTTGCTAGATAACATACCTAAACATGCTTTTCTTGGTCACCTTTCATAAGCCTCTTCAATATATTTTAGAAATCCCCATGTTCAGGGTCTGCAGATGACAAGCTGAAAAACCCTTCTGGAAAGGCTGAAGAATCCAGCTGTGTGGTGACTACTGATGAATTGACAGGGGAGGCATTGTTTGTACTCTATGAAAGCATCCTCAGACTGGTAGATTGTAATGTCTTTGTAAATTATACTGTTCCTGA